ATTGTCGACTATTGAAAAACTATCGATAGTACTATCGATAGTCGACTATCGAAAAACTATCGATAGTCGACTATCGAAAAACTATCTTTAGTACTATCGATAGTCGACTATCGAAAAACTATCGATAGTCGACTATCGAAAAACTATCGATAGTACTGATAGTCGACTATCGAAAAACTATCGATAGTACTGATAGTCGACTATCGAAAAACTATCGATAGTCGACTATCGAAAAACTATCGATAGTACTATCGATAGTCGACTATCGAAGAACTATCGATAGTACTATCGATAGTCGACTATCGAAGAACTATCGATAGTACTATCGATAGTCGACTATCGAAAAACTATCGATAGTACTATCGATAGTCGACTATCGAAAAACTATCGATAGTACTATCGATAGTCGACTATCGAAGAACTATCGATAGTACTATCGATAGTCGACTATCGAAAAACTATCGATAGTACTATCGATAGTCGACTATCGAAAAACTATCGATAGTACTATCGATAGTCGACTATCGAAAAACTATCGATAGTACTATCGATAGTCGACTATCGAAAAACTATCGATAGTCGACTATCGAAAAACTATCTTTAGTACTATCGATAGTCGACTATCGAAAAACTATCGATAGTCGACTATCGAAAAACTATCGATAGTACTGATAGTCGACTATCGAAAAACTATCGATAGTCGACTATCAGAAAACTATCGATAGTACTATCGAAAAACTATCGATAGTACTTATAGTCGACTATCGAAAAACTATCGATAGTCGACTATCGGAAAACTATCGATAGTACTATCGATAGTCGACTATCGAAAAACTATCGATAGTACTGATAGTCGACTATCGAAAAACTATCGATAGTCGACTATCAGAAAACTATCGTTAATCGACTATCGGAAAACTATCGATAGTACTATCGATAGTCGACTATTGAAAAACTATCGATAGTCGACTATCAGAAAACTATCGTTAATCGACTATCGGAAAACTATCGATAGTACTATCGATAGTCGACTATTGAAAAACTATCGATAGTACTATCGATAGTCGACTATCGGAAAACTATCAATAGTCGACTATCGAAAAACTATCTTTAGTACTATCGATAGTCGACTATAGAAAAACTATCGATAGTCGACTATCGAAAAACTATCGATAGTCGACTATCAGAAAACTATCGTTAATCGACTATCGAAAAACTATCGATAGTACTACTGATAGTCGACTATTGAAAAACTATCGATAGTACTATCGATAGTCGACTATCGAAAAACTATCTTTAGTACTATCGATAGTCGACTATCGAAAAACTATCGATAGTCGACTATCGAAAAACTATCGATAGTACTGATAGTCGACTATCGAAAAACTATCGATAGTCGACTATCAGAAAACTATCGATAGTACTATCGAAAAACTATCGATAGTACTGATAGCCGACTATCGAAAAACTATCGATAGTCGACTATCGGAAAACTATCGATAGTACTATCGATAGTCCACTATCGAAAAACTATCGATAGTACTGATAGTCGACTATCGAAAAACTATCGAAAAACTATCGATAGTCGACTATCAGAAAACTATCGTTAATCGACTATCGGAAAACTATCGACAGTCGACTATCGTAAACCTATCAATAGTACTATCGACAGTTTACTATGGATAGTTTTGCGACACTAGTAGTTTGCGTCGCTCCCTCTTGTCTATTTATCACTTTAATTTTTTTTTCAAACGGGGCACCAACTAGCCCAGGCACTTACCATCCCAACTTTGGTTCAGTTTTCAGTGATGACGAAGATGGGGGTTTGGGCGAAAAAAGAAGAAGGGGGAGGCGAGCGGTAGGGCGAGGGCAAGACGGGCCGGGGAGGAGGAAGCAGACGAACCGCTGGAGAAGAGAGGGGGAAACCTCCTCCTCTCTTTAGCGTTCCGTCTGCTTCCTCCTCCCCGACCCATCTTACCCTCGACCTACCTTCTTCAGTTGTAACGGACTATAGTGGTGCAAGACTATCGATAGCACTAGCGATAGTGTCGTTAGTCGCCAGTATAGTAAAGAACCATCGATAGTCGACTATAGAAAAACTATCGATAGTACTATCGATAGTCGACTATCGAAAAACTATCGATAGTACTATCGATAGTCGACTATTGAAAAACTATCGATAGTCGACTATCGAAAAACTATCGATAGTACTATCGATAGTCGACTATCGAAAAACTATCGATAGTACTATCGATAGTCGACTATCGATATTCTGGGACACTATCGATAGTTTTGGAAAAACTATCGATAGTATCGATAGTCAATTTATCGATAGTTTTGCATCACTAACTCGTATACACCAACTCATGTTTACAAACAGACCAGAGCACCCCTAGCGGACGCCACCGGCGCCGCGCTTGCGCGATGGGGTGTGGGCAAGAAGCTCGCCGTCGTGTATAAACAAACCATGGAAATTCGATGTTGTCGGCGTCGGTGTGAGTCCCCCTGCTCTTTTTCGCGTTCGAATCGCTGATTCTACGTCTTCCTGACGATGTCTGACTACTTGAGCGGCGTCAGCGAAATTATCGAGGCTCGTTACACCGCAAAACTTCGCGTGAATAATGTGACATCTGGCGCTTCATTCCGCGTGGACGCCGCAGTATGTACAGAGCGCGACACTGTAAGTGCGAACAAGCGATCGCCGGTTTTTCCAGTTTTTCTTTTTGAAACCAAGGGATGCCATTCAAGTTATTATTGGTACGGAAAGAGCTCATTTTGTTCTGTATTGTAAGCGATAACATTTCGTACTCACTAATATTAAAAGTAAAATGCGAAAATGCGCCGATGTCGTGTTCGCGCTAACAGTGTCGCGATGTGTACGCTAAAGCCTGATTCGCAAGATGAGATTTCGCTCGCAATTTTTAGTCGCGACGCCACTCGGGCTGCAAAAGCGTGAACCGTAACTGAGATGGTCGCCGTCGATACTGAAAATCGCAAGCAGAATCGGACCAAGTCATTTAGGCATAGCAAGTCAGTGATGGTCACTCGTAACAATGATCAACCCAGTCGAAAATTCTCATTAGATTCCAATTACAATTTCCAATTGGTACCAGTTAGGTTTTCGGACAACCAATAGGTCACTGTAATGGGAACCAACGGGAACCATTTGAAACCCATTAAGTTTCCAACTGGAAAATTTTTTCCAACTGGTGAGACCCATTGGCCAGTGTACTTCCAATTGGAACCCACTAAAACCGATTGGTTCCAATTAAAACCAGTTAGAATTCCAATTGGATCTAATGATAATTTTTAGCTGGGAACATCTCCTTGTATTTACTGTTTACACCGAGCCTGCTTACCAACCTTCAAACTTAAGTCTTTTGAGGCCTGCACTTACTTCGTATAGCAAGTACCGGGCCAACATTTAATCTATGAGCCGGCGTCGTCTAAGAGAGCAGACGACAAGCAGGAACGTTTGAAAGAGCAGACGACAGTTCGAACGATCGGGCGGCCGTTTGAACTTGAAGACGCACTGAACGTAGTCCGCAGGTGGTCCGTGCAACTTGACGGTTTTCTGGCGTTCATGTTGGAACAAAACAAATAAATCTGATGACCACAAGTATCTGTGAATTCAACTCAAAGTGCTTCCCGCCAAAGCAATCGTGGTCCGACGGCGTCTGCTTTTCCCTTTTCACGGCTAATATCCAGATTCTCGGACGAACCAAGCACGTGAAAACTGACCTTCAAACCTTTCTCGACACTTTTGGTACGGCCCCAGTCGCGGCGTTTTGACGAGAAGGCAGGTTTTTGTCTGGTTCCTTTCAAAACAACGCAGGAATACACGTGTGGCTTGGGGACTTCTGCCCACAGCCAATACCACCTAGAACACAAGGCCTGCGCGTTTCCTCCTCTAAACGTCATCACTAGTAGATCCCCTCAGCGCCCCCTAGCTAGCCCGGATGAGCAACATCGTCTGCTACATCGTCTGCTACATCGTCTGCTCCATCGCCTGCTTCAGTGGTTTGTGTAACAGATAATGAAACAGATGCTCACGCCGAATGTCTCTTGCAAATAGCATACGATGAAGTTAGACGTTCACGTGGAGCGTCAAATGCATGAGCGAAATTGCCTTACTGCTGCGCGAAGGGCTGAAAAGCCCTTCGTTGGACGCTGGACGCTGACACTGGACGCCATTTTCGAGGGCGCTGTTTATACCTCGGGTAGCTGCTTCGAAGCGTTCTACCGCAGAACGAGCGCGCGCGCTAGAAATGCGCGTCTCAAAGCCAGGAGTGCGTGCTAGCTCGCGCTCCTGGCCGAGGGAGCGTTCGCGTGCACGTCGCAAATGCACTGGAAGCTTGCTATCAGCTCGCGCTCAGCAGTCACGCACACAGCTGCGGCCGCAAGTGAATGCGACGTAGTTGCGACGCGGCCCCTACTCTCGTCAAGCTTCGGGGTGTTTGCCGCTTGGGGCGGGTGGGGGATCTACTAACGAAACGTCATGCGCAGGCCTTGTCTTCTAGGTGGTATTGCCACAGCCCCAGACCGGAAGTGCGACCGACGCCCCACCACCGCGCCGTGACGTAACAGAGATGAGTTCGTGTTATACGCAGGCACAATATCCGGTGTTTCGGGAATCAAGGAGAGTTCCCCAGTCTTCGTTTTGTATCGCTCGAGAATCAGTGTATTGTACAGTCGTGAAATGTCAGATAATCGAAAACGCAAACAGCGCATTCTGTCACGGCTGAAATGAAGCTGCTCAACCGAAACCGAAACTGAGTGGCCAACTAGTTCCCAGAGTGCACTGCGTGGTATTTCGCCGCGATGGGACGCTTTGATTTTGGAAGAAGTCTTTAAATTAATGGAAACTTCAAATAAGTTAGTGCGAAGCTGCACTAAATTCAAGCGCACTTGTATCTAAAAAGTTTTACGCTTAGAATATGATAAGAAGAAAAAAATTAGAATAGAATAACGCGTTTGGCGGAATTGTTTTAGCAGTTGCCAACGCTATTCTCGCCATCTTTTCGCGTTTTATTTGGTCGCTTCGTTTGAAAATGTGTTTGGATGATTGAGTTTGTCTAATTCGCAAGGAAACCTCAAAAATCAACCAAAATCATGGCTACTCAGTCATTGTTACCGAGCGAAGTGTCACTACGACTAGGTCAGCGCATCTCCAGCGATCTGCCGAGCGTTACTGAACGCTACTTCAAGCCCCGGTTTCTTCTTGGTATGACGCTTTTTCTCACTAACTAGCTCAAAAAAAAAAACAAAAAAAACACAGAGTTTAGAACTGCAGCAAGACCTGCGTATTTGACGGGATCAGTATGACACCGCCGCCGCTCGAGACTGGCCAGCGACTAAAACAGCAAACTCAAACCTGTTAACGTGTCATCTTTAAAAAACCTCTGTTCAAATTTAAATCAAACACTATCTACAGGGTTTAATTATTTAGTTAGGTTGGTAATGGGAAACAAAATATTGAACCCCGCTTCCGGGGTTCCATTCAGGGCGCCGGTGTAAATCAGGGTCCAAATGTAGACCCGGGAAGGAGGGTTTGGGAGTGTGGGAGAAGCCTCGCAGGAATAGGAAAAAGAAACAACTTAACATAGGGTTCATAAACATGCAGGGGGTCAGGAATAGAATAAACTCCCAGGCGAAAATTTTCAACTGGGACCAATTGGTCCCAGTTGCAACTGGTTTAGGGAACAATTCCCAGTTGCAACTGGTCCCAGTTGGAGTCGTCCAACTGGTCGCAGTTGGAGTTGGTCCCAGCTGGAATTGGTCCCAGTTACAACTGGTCCAAGTTGGAGTTGGTCCCAGTTACCGCTGGTACCAACTCCAGCAACAATGAAACACGGCTCAAAATGGAAGGTTGACAAGACTTTATTGTCAAAAACTTGGCGAATGAAACTAAATAATAGGTTCGGTGACGTACACGCTCCGGGTTTAGCCACTTGCTTGCGACGGTTGAATCGCTTTTTCAGAGGTAGTATTCGTGAGATGAAGGAAGATTGGCCGCTCCATGGCGTCTGTTAGTGAAGACGTCCTCAGCTTCTCTCCCCATCGCGTGAAGAAAGGTGCTCACCCGTGATCCCGCGTTGCGCAGGTGAAGTCCTGATAGGATGCGGTAGCGCTCCCACCTTGCATACTCTGTCACAACAGTCGAACATTTTCGAGGTAGACCTCCCGCCATTTTCGCCCTTGTGCTCTCCGCGGCGTTTTCTTCCATCCGGTCTTTCCTGGGTGCCCTCCGATCGCTGAACTGCATCTTTCCATCCTCGAAGTTCATCGCCGCCACCATGGTGTGTTTATAGTAAGGTCCAAAGAAGCGCAGCTGTAGTTTGGACATTTTCATGACGACGCCAACTTGGGCGATGGCGACCCTTCTCTACCGCGTCGACCGCGTCCGTCCGACTCAGGATGGATGGATGGATGAATACGGCTGAGCCCTTTGGATCGGGCGGTAGCTTACGCCACCTAGCCATTTTGTTTTACCATTTAAGCTTAGAATATTTAAATGTGAAATCTATATTCACTTCGCAGTGCAAAGAAAGTGAGGCTATGAAACCCCCTTGCCATCAGTGGATAAGAAAATACCTAGTTTTCTCTCGATTTCTGCCACCATTCACTTAATCTTTGCTTGGTAATCTCTACAGTCTTGAAATCCACTCTCCCTTCGCTGTCTCTAAAACCCAATGACTTTATTAAATCTATGTTGTCTTCGGTAGGCATAGGGTGAAGCCCTTTACAGTAGAGTATCAAGTGCTCAGCCGTCTCGTCCTCCTCTCCACAAGCAGTGCACACTGTATCAATTTCCTGGTACTTCACTCTGTATGTTCTGGTTCGCAGAACACCCGTTCTTGCCTCAAACAGCAATGAGCTTCCCCTAGAATTGTCATAAATGCTTTCTTTGGCAATAACTCTTTTGTTTAATCTATAGACCGACACGCTGTTTACAAACAAGCCGGCGTTTGCCCACACCAGGTGTGGGCACTGCGCGTGCGCAGAAACCGTATTCGCTTGAAGGGAAGCGTCGGCGCATGCGCAGTGCCGTCGACAGCGCCACCGCAGCTGCGTGACGTCAAGGCCGCGTGTTGGTCTATAGCTTTCCAGAGCCGTCTTTGTCTGCATTCCCTCTAGCCACCAATCTCTTTCTGTGGCCTTAACTTTCTTCTTAACTGAGACTTGCTCTTCGGTATCTTTGCTATAGCCCAAAAACTTTCCTCTTAATTTCCTAGTGCGCTGTCTCCACTTTGTGTCTACACTCCTCATGTATAAATAGCTGAAAACCTTTCGTGCCCATTGCTCCCCGTCCATTTGCCTCAACCTATCCTCAAATTCTACCTTGCTCACCGCTTCCCTGCTCTCAAATGATGCCCATCCCATGTCTCCTTGTACTCCCTGGTTTGGCGTTTTGCAATGTGCCCCCAAAGCCAGTCTACCTACTCCGCGCTGTTTTATTTCTAGTCTCGCATGCACTTCGGATTTCATGCATAGCACTGCGTTTCCAAAAGTCAAGCCAGGCACCATGACCCCTTTCCAAATCTCTCTCACCACCTCATACCTGTTGTAATTCCAAAGTGCTCTATTTTTCATTACAGCTGCATTTCTGTTGCCCTTACCTATTATATACTTTTCATGGTCTCTGAGATATTCTGCACCATCACATATCCATACTCCTAGATACTTGTATTTACTAGCTCTCTCAACTGTAATATTCTGTATCTTCAGCCTCTCAACTTCATCCTCGTTAAAAATCATGACTGCCGATTTTTCGCTACTGAATTCTAAACCTAATTCCTCTCCTTCCCTACCACAGATGCTCATTAATTCCTGCAACTCTGTCCTGTTGTTAGCCATTAGTGCAATATCATCCACATACATCAATCCCGGTAAGGATTGCTGAATTTTTTGGCCTAGCTTACTGTAAGAAAGGTTGAACCCAAGCCCACTCTTCTCTAGTCTATCCTCCAATCCTCTCAGATACAACATAAACAGCAAAGGCGATAACGGGCACCCCTGCCTAAGGCCTCGTCTTATCTCTATTTTCCCTGTCGCCTTTCCTTCCCATGTTATAATCACCTTGTTATCTTTGTAAATGTTCCTTAATAGTGCTGTTAGTCCTTCATCTAGGTTTAAGTTCTCCATTATGTGCCACAGGTTTCTTTGGTTCACATTGTCATAGGCACCCTTGATATCCAGAAATGCCAGCCAGAGCTGTCTGTTTTCTTTTTGCGCTATTTCTATACACTGTGTTAGAGAAAATAAATTGTCCTCCAACCTTCTTTGTTTTCGAAACCCGTTCTGTAATTCGCCCAGTATGCCCTCGCAATCTACCCATTCCTCCAGTCTGTTCTTTATAATCTGCATTACCAACCTGTAAATAACCGGTGTCACGGTTATAGGACGATAATTCCTAATATCAGACTTATCTCCCTTTCCCTTATATATCATACTCATCCTACTAAACCTCCATTCATCTGGAATATTTCCTTTTGTTATCATGGTACTCACTACCTCCCTTAGTTTTGCCTTAGATTTAGGACCCAAATTCTTCACCAGCTTGATAGGGATACCATCTGTGCCTGTCGACGTGCCACTAGGGACTCTTCGTTCCGCCTTTTCCCATTCTCTTTGTCCAAAATCTGCGATGTCACAAACTGGACTGCTACTTCCTTCGGTTCTCCTATCTTCCACATGTAACCGTTCCCGAAATTTCTCCTCCATCACTGCTCCTATATATTGTATCGCATCATCTCCCTCTAATTGATCTCCCTGATGCGAGAGTATGAACCTCTGTCTAGCTTGCGTTGTTTCACCGAGTGAGTTCAAGTGCTCCCAAAACTTCTTGGCAGCGTTTCTATCTTTCTTACTTACATTACTCATCCATTCCTCACCCTTTCTCTGAATTTTCGCATTGATCAAACTGGATGCCTCTCGGCGACATGTTATAAAATTGTCCCATTTTCTTTTTACTTCCGTTTCGGACTCCCCACTACGCTTGGAATACCTGTGTTCTCTAGAGGCTTCCTGACGTTTTTGTATCGCTTGCTTCACTTCTTTGTCCCACCAGCTTTTTGGTCTATGTCCTTGCTTCCCCTTTCGTTTACTCTTAACTTTGTCTAGTTCTAGAGCAAAAAGCCTAGTTAGGCTCTCATAGGTCCAATCTGTATGCCGGTGCCCTGAAACTGCTGCCTCTATTCTTTCAACAACTATTTCCAACTCTTTGTCGCTGCAGAAAGTTTGCTTTGAATTATGTTGTCTAGTTTCAGGATTTACTTCTCTGGCAAAATTCAGCTTAATACGTTTGTGATCACTACCAAGACTTTTGGAACCTTCTTCATCTATTTTCATTACTTGTAACTTACCATATATTTTGTGTGACATGAGTATGTAATCTATAGTTGAATGCAGATTGCCAGTTTCCCAAGTTATGTGCCCGTCACACTTCTGACTGGTATTACATAAAACTAAGTCATGTTTTTCCACCAGTTCTAGTAATATGCTTCCAGTTGAGTCCGTATACCCATCCAGACCCTCAATATGGGCATTCATGTCTCCCATAATAATTATTTCGGAGCCTTCCCCTAGTTCACTAATGTCTCTTGATATGCAATCAATCATTTTTTTGTTTTCCTCTTTAGCACCTGTCCCTGTCCATAAGTAAACCACTCCAAGGACTGTTGATTCCCCAGCGACTTTTCCTTTCAGCCACAAATGTTCGGCGCACTCCTTTCTGATCCTTTGAAAGTTCATATTCTTCTTAATAAATGCTCCAATTCCACCTCCCTTCCTCGTTCCCTCCATTCTGTTGCATTCTTCCCACACATAGTCAGGGTTGCAAGGTGGCTGCTCCATGTCTCTGAGATGTGTTTCCACAAACCCATACACCATTAAATCCTCCTTTCTTAGTTGCTCCTCTACCTCTTCCCATTTTAACCTATTTCTACCACCCTGCATGTTAATATATCCAATGTCGGATTGTGCTGTTTTTTTATACCTGTTCTTACGTTTTCTCCTCTTTTTAACCCTGGGTGCCTCTCCTGACTTCGTTGGGTTTTCAATTACTTCAGTGCCCCCAGGGCCCTCGGTCCCCCCAAAAAAGCAGTCACCGTGCGGCCCATCCTATCCCCCACCCTGTAACCCGTGGCCTCACTGTAGTGAATGCCATCTGCAAAAGGGCGGGAGCCAGCCTCGTACACCTCTCTGTTTACTTCCATTACGTCG